CACTGGCCTTTGAAATATACAAACATCGTTTACAAATAACATTTTCTTCAACATGTTTAAAAAGTTCACTTACAGAAGCATTATAGCTTACAGCTAGATCACCTACAGTAGCATTGTTCTGTATAGCTAAGTCACCTACAGTAACACTGTCCTGTATAGCTAAGTCACCTACAGTAGCACTGTCCTGTATAGCTAAGTCACCTACAGTAGCACTGTTCTGTATAGCTAAGTCACCTACAGTAGCACTGTCCTGTATAGCTAAGTCACCTACAGTAGCACTGTCCTGTATAGCTAAGTCACCTACAGTAACACTGTCCTGTATAGCTAAGTCACCTACAGTAGCATTGTTCTGTATAGCTAAGTCACCTACAGTAACACTGTCCTGTATAGCTAAGTCACCTACAGTAACACTGTCCTGTATAGCTAAGTCACCTACAGTAGCACTGTTCTGTATAGCTAAGTCACCTACAGTAGCACTGTTCTGTATAGCTAAGTCACATACAGTAGCACTGTCCTGTATAGCTAAGTCACCTACAGTAGCACTGTCCTGTATAGCTAAGTCACCTACAGTAGCACTGTCCTGTATAGCTAAGTCACCTACAGTAACACTGTCCTGTATAGCTAAGTCACCTACAGTAGCACTGTCTTGTATAGCTAAGTCACCTACAGTAGCACTGTTCTGTATAGCTAAGTCACATACAGTAGCACTGTCCTGTATAGCTAAGTCACCTACAGTAGCACTGTCTTGTATAGCTAAGTCACCTATAGTAGCATTGTTCTGTATAGCTAAGTCACCTACAGTAGCACTGTTCTGTATAGCCTAGTCACCTACAGTAGCACTGTCCTGTATAGCTAAGTCACCTACAGTAGCACTGTCCTGTATAGCTAAGTCACCTACAGTAGCACTGTCCTGTATAGCTAAGTCACCTACAGTAACACTGTCCTGTATAGCTAAGTCACCTACAGTAGCACTGTCCTGTAAAGCTAAGTCACCTACAGTAGCACTGTTCTGTATAGCTAAGTCACATACAGTAGCACTGTCCTGTATAGCTAAGTCACCTACAGTAGCACTGTCTTGTATAGCTAAGTCACCTATAGTAGCATTGTTCTGTATAGCTAAGTCACCTACAGTAGCACTGTTCTGTATAGCCTAGTCACCTACAGTAGCACTGTCCTGTATAGCTAAGTCACCTACAGTAGAACTGTCTTGTATAGCTAAGTCACCTACAGTAGCATTGTTCTGTATAGCTAAGTCACCTACAGTAGCACTGTTCTGTATAGCCTAGTCACCTACAGTAGCACTGTCCTGTATAGCTAAGTCACCTACAGTAGCACTGTCCTGTATAGCTAAGTCACCTACAGTAGCACTGTCCTGTATAGCTAAGTCACATACAGTAGCACTGTCCTGTATAGCTAAGTCACCTACAGTAGCACTGTCCTGTATAGCTAAGTCACCTACAGTAGCACTGTTCTGTATAGCTAAGTCACCTACAGTAGCACTGTTCTGTATAGCTAAGTCACCTACAGTAGCACTGTTCTGTATAGCTAAGTCACCTACAGTAGCACTGTCCTGTATAGCTAAGTCACATACAGTAGCACTGTCCTGTATAGCTAAGTCACCTACAGTAGCACTGTCCTGTATAGCTGAGCACCTTAGAAGCATTGTACAGTAGAACTAGTTCATTTATTGTTGCACTTAAGTGTATGTCTAGGTCAACTATAGCGCAGTATTAACTACTGAGTATGTAGCTAGATACATCATGATTAGTATCTCAGCTGGTGCAGTGATCCCAGTGAAACAGTGTACCATTTCTAGTGTGTGGTATTCTGTAAAAAGCATAGAAGTTAACATAAAGGAACAAACAAAATGACTAACAGATGAAGAAACAAGTAGAAATAAGTATGTACAAAAATTAATTGATGCTACTTCTTAAATATACAGATTATATCAACAGAAACTAGATAAAATATACAGCCTAAGTTTGGGTCCTGAGAAAGATTGGGAACCTGTTGTGAAAGGCAATAGTTCAAACTCCAGTTACAAAGTTTAATACAATGATAGAGGAAGGTCAAACCCCAGTTACCAGGTCTAACAATAGTGATAGAGGAATGTTTAATCCCAGTTACCAGGTCTAGCATGATGGAGGAAAGTCTAACCCAAATTACCAGGTCTAACATTAAACCTCCCTTACCTTATAATCAGAACTTGGCCAGAAATTTTCAGTTAACAAAGTGTTCTAACAGGAAATTGACCAATAACATCATTAAAAAAAAGAATTAATGTTAACACAAAAGATTTCATGATTTTCATTCAAAGTATTTTTAAAGTTCTTCAAACCCATAATGACATGCTAGGTTTGTAAAATACAGGGCTTGAATCCATTGCCTTCCAGTCCAGGTTCACAAACATGAGAATATTTAAAAAAATAATATATCTACAACGACCATCAACATAAAAAGCTACATCAACAACAAAGGAAATTTAACAACTTAAAAATTAGCTCATTTACATAGGAAACATGTAAATTCATTCAGTAACCACAGATCGTGGTCGATAATTACAAATCCTTTTAACCATGCAGCATTAGTCCAGTCATACATAGCCATAATATCAGTAGAATTAGGAATCATAAATACATATATTTCATTACAGTTGTCAAAAAATATCAGAATTCAACCCAATACTGTAGTGCTATATATGCTCATTCAATAAGTCAAATTCAAACTAAAGAAAACTGAATCAACACCAAGTTAATTACAATTTTCAAATAAGACTGAGATCTTTACAAGTCAGCATCTGTACAAAATCAAGGAAAAAATCTGTACATTTCCGAACATTATATGATACAAATCTTTCAGACACAGTATTTGGTTTTCACCTCTACTGTCACGATCAGACATCTAAACTAAATGGCATGCAAGTTTGGAAAAAAAAAAAAAAAAAAAACTGTAAATCATTTTTTAAAAAGTAATTACCAAATTATAGTTAGATTTTAACAGGTTACCTCTCATTCTTTAAATCTTGGTTGATCTGATCATTACCACAGAGATATCTAGGTCCCCTTTTAATGAAGAGCAGTAGTACTATATAGCTCACTCTAGACATGGCCACATGGGGCTGTGATACTATATATAGCTCACTCTAGACCTCACCACATGGGGCTGTAGTGCTATATAGCTCACTCTAAACCTGACCACATGGGGCTGTAGTACTATATATAGCTCACTCTAGACCTGACCACATGGGGCTGTAGTGCTATATAGCTCACTCTAGACCTGACCACATGGGGCTGTAGTGCTATATAGCTCACTCTAGACCTGACCACATGGGGGTGTAGTACCATACAGCTCACTCTAGACCTGACCACATGGGGCTTTAGTACTATATATAGCTCACTCTAGACCTGACCACACGGGGCTGTAGTACCATACAGCTCACTCTAGACCTAACCACATGGGGCTGTAGTACCATACAGCTCACTCTAGACCTGACCACATGGGGCTGTAGTGCTATATAGCTCACTCTAGACCTGACCACATGGGGCTGTAGTACCATACAGCTCACTCTAGACCTGACCACATGGGGCTGTAGTACCATACAGCTCCCTCTAGACCTGACCACATAAGGTGGTATTACCATTGATCACAACTGTAGTTTCCTTACATACACCATTATACAATACAAATCTGCTTTTTATAATACACAACTGTAAATTTCTACAGTTTCATCTTTCTTACTATTTCTTCCAAATTCAATCTGTGTTTATTCTCTCACTATGTCTACTAATCTAGCAGCAACTCACTAACTCTGTACGACCCAGTCTTTCATGGTTTTATGTGTCTATATCATACTTGTGATTCTGTCTCACAAACATCCTGACATGATTTGTTCCAGACTGTTGTAACTCCATCAACAGTTCTATACATATTGATCTGTCATGTTTTTACATCATTTTCTTCCCAATCTCACAATCTTCCATTCTGATCTAATACAACAACTTACAAATCTCGGCCATTTTTGTTCTTATTGCAGCAGGTAAGTTTTAAATGACAATGAGGATGACATTGATGATGAATGGTATCTATCATTTCATGATATAACAATATACAAAAATCATTTTGCATTTCATATTTTCTCCATTAATATTAAAACCCTGAGGTTAACAGGAATCAAATTTTATATATTTCCCTTTAGAATAATTCCTAAGTAAACAATAATCTGCACTTTCACTCACTCTGCTGCTAAAGTTGGTAAAGTTCCTTCCCTGTTTTGCCAACAGTTGGTACCTCCTCTCAAAAAGTGGATATTTCTGTTTCCCCTATCATCAACAGTTGGCAGTCAATTCCCTTAAAAGTTGTGAATTTCCATTCTGTAAAAACCACCAACAGTTGGTAGTTGCCTTTAAAATACTGCTAACTTGATTGTCCCATTCTGTCCTAGATTTATGGATTGCCTTCAACTATTGTGAATTATAACTAAAATCTATCCCAACTTTACCAATGGTTAGTAAAATCCCATTCCTTCTACTGCCAATAGTCAGTGAAGTCCATTTCTTTCTACTACCAACAGTTGGTGAAGTCCCATCCCTCCACTGCCAACAGTTAGTGAAGTTATCTCCCCTCTACTATCAACAGTTAGTGAAGTCCCTTTCCGACAACTACCAAAAGTTGGTGAAGTCCACAAACAGTTAAAGTTATTTCCCCTCTACTAACAACATTTGATGAAGCCCTCTCCTCTCTACTACCTACAACTAGTGAAATCCCCTCCCCTCTACCATCAACAATTGGGGAAGTCCCCTCCCCTCTACTGCCAACAGTTGGTGAATTCTGTTTCCTACTGGCAACAATTAGAGGGTAGCACAAGAAGCAGGTTTTGAGGTTGGTTAGGAATTATTGATTAGGCTCGTGATAAAAATAGTCTTTGTCTCGTATTGGTGTAAAATAAGTCCTCTGTAGTCTTGGCTTTTGGTCTTTGCACATGAAAGTACTTTTGGTGAGTTGGCCTGCCTAGCTGACTAATGGTCATTTCCTGCGGTGCTTACGGTACCTATGGCGTCGGTACAGGGAGGGATGGAGACCAAGGGCAGTGTCCTGAGGTAGTTGGCGAACAGGAATGGTACACGTATGTAGCGCTGGCACCTCCGATTCTGACACCCATTTGTCTGGTATACTGTAAACACATAACAATGTAACAGAACACAAGATACACATAGTTTGAGTAAGATAAGCATATTAGCATGTGAGTTAATGAAGGCTGTAACAATCTTTGCCTCATCTACAAACATTAAACAAGTCTCCCTTGCATCCTTTCTTTTTCTTAAGTGCCCCGTATAAATTTGCAGACAGTATAATGAAATACAAACTACATATAACTTATCTTAATTGTAGCAATTGAATCAGATGAGTGAGTTACACTTATGTAATGTATGTTCACACAAACATGAGTTATATAACTGTATTTCGTGTTTTGACACATGTGTTACATTCATAAAATATTTGTTAAACATGCAGACATTTTCATACAAATGTGTGTTAAGACATTTGAGGTACATGGATGTTATGTTTTTTAAACTTAAAGCAGTTATAATGATATCATATTTGTTCAGGCATGAAAGTTACATGGATGTAATATATATTTTGACATGTGAGTTACATGGATGTAGTGTATATTTACACATGTGAGTTATATGGATGTAGTGTATATTTACACATGTGAGTTACATGGATGTAGTGTATATTTACACATGTGAGTTACATGGATGTAGTGTATATTTACACATGTGAGTTATATGGATGTAGTGTATATTTAGACATGTGAGTTACATGGGTGTAGTGTATATTTAGACATGTGAGTTACATGGGTGTAGTGTATATTTAGACATGCGAGTTACATGGATGTAGTGTATATTTACACATGCGAGTTACATGGATGTAGTGTATATTTAGACATGTGAGTTACATGGGTGTAGTGTATATTTAGACATGTGAGTTACATGGGTGTAGTGTATATTTAGACATGTGAGTTACATGGGTGTAGTGTATATTTAGACATGTGAGTTACATGGGTGTAGTGTATATTTAGACATGTGAGTTACATGGGTGTAGTGTATATTTACACATGTGAGTTACATGGGTGTAGTGTATATTTACACATGTGAGTTACATGGATGTAGTGTATGTGTAGACTTACATGAATTACAATGATGTAATGTATATTAAGACTTACATATCTTCTGGTGACCAATGAAGTAGTACTTTGACTTTGCCTGATTCTTCCCTCCGTCTGGCTAGGACCTGATACATAAAACATACAAGTGCAATCATTATTGATTTACAGAACTGGGAAATGTGACATAGTCAGGGCTGTGACTACTGACAGTCAGGGCTGTGACTACAGACACAACTGGGAAATGTGACATAGTCAGCACTGTGACTACTGACAGAACTGGGAAATGTGACATAGTTAGGGCTGTGACTACTGACAGAACTGGGAAATGTGACAAAGTCAGGGCTGTGACTACTGACAGAACTGGGAAATGTGACATAGTCAGGGCTGTGACTATTTTCAGAACTGGGAAATGTGACATAGTCAGGACTGTGACTATTTACAGAACTGGGAAATGTGACATACTTAGGGCTATGACTATTTACAGAACTGTAGGATGTGACATAGTTAGGGCTGTGACTACTGACACAACTGGGAAATGTGACATAGTCAGGGCTGTGACTATTTACAGAACTGGGAAATGTGACATAGTCAGGGCTGTGACTACTTACAGAACTGGGAAATGTGACATAGTCAGGGCTGTGACTATTTACAGAACTGGGAAATGTGACATAGTCAGGGCTGTGACTACTGACACAACTGGGAAATGTGACATAGTCAGGGCTGTGACTACTGACAGAACTGGGAAATGTGACATAGTCAGGACTGTGACTACTGACAGAACTGGGAAATGTGACATATTCAGGGCTGTGACTATAGACACAACTGGGAAATGTGAAAGTCAGGGCTGTGACTACTGACAGAACTGGGAAATGTGACATAGTCAGCACTGTGACTACTGACAGAACTGGGAAATGTGACATAGTCAGGACTGTGACTACTGACAGAACTGGGAAATGTGACATAGTCAGGGCTGTGACTACAGACACAACTGGGAAATGTGACATAGTCAGGGCTGTGACTACTGACAGAACTGGGAAATGTGACATAGTTAGGGCTGTGACTACTGACAGAACTCTGGAATGTGACATAGTCAGGACTGTGACTACAGACAGAATTGCTGAATGTGACATAGGGCTGTGACTATTTACAGAACTGTAGAATGTGTCATAGTCAGGACTGTGACTACAGACAGAACTGTGAATTGTGACATAGTCAGGGCTGTGACTACTGACAGAACAGTTGAATCTGAGAGTCAGGGCTGTGTCTAATTACAGTATTGCAGAATGTGACTCAGTAAAGGGTGTGACTACTTACAGAACTGTGGAATGTGACAGAGTTTGAGCTGCCGTTGAGATCAATGTGAGTGTGCTCTGTGAAGTTCATTAACTCTTGCTGTAATTGCTCCATGATTCCTGAGTCGAAGAAGTCTGTCGTTCGTACTGAAAAACAAACACACCTGTGTAAAACAGAAACCTGTGATAATCTCTTTTAATCATTTACCTTTCTACAGCAGTTATTCATCTGTTTGTTTTTATCCCATCATCATAAAATCTCTTTATTGATACAACCATACAGGATAACATCACAACAAAAGAAGTGTACTGTGGGACTGTCATTATTTACATGTTTTTACAGGATAACATCACTATCATTATATTACAAAGTGTTCAAAGACAAACAAAGGAGGGTCATACTACCACTGTATTATGAGGTGTACAATAAGACAGATAGAAGGATCATACTACCACTGTATTAGGAGGTGTACAATAAGACAGACAGAAGGATCATACTACCACTGTATTAGGAGGTGTACAATAAGACAGACAGAAGGATCATACTACCACTGTATTAGGAGGTGTACAATAAGACAGACAGAAGGATCATACTACCACTGTATTAGGAGGTGTACAATAAGACAGATAGAAGGATCATACTACCACTGTATTAGGAGGTGTACAATAAGACAGATAGAAGGATCATACTACCACTGTATTATGAGGTGTACAATAAGACAGATAGAAGGATCATACTACCACTGTATTAGGTGTACAATAAGACAGATAGAAGGATCATACTACCACTGTATTAGGAGGTGTACAATAAGACAGATAGAAGGAGGGTCATACTACCACTGTATTAGGAAGTGTACAATAAAACAGACAGAAGGATCATACTACCACTGTATTAGGAGGTGTACAATAAGACAGATAGAAGGATCATACTACCACTGTATTAGGAGGTGTACAATAAGACAGATAGGAGGATCATACTACCACTGTATTAGGAGGTGTACAATAAGACAGATAGGAGGACCATACTACTACTGTATTATGAGGTGTACAATAAGACAGATAGAAGGATCATACTACCACTGTATTAGGAAGTGTACAATAAGACAGATAGAAGGATCATACTACCACTGTATTAGGAAGTGTACAATAAGACAGATAGGAGGACCATACTACCACTGTATTATGAGGTGTACAATAAGACAGATAGAAGGATCATACTACCACTGTATTAGGAAGTGTACAATAAGACAGATAGGAGGACCATACTACCACTGTATTAGGAGGTGTACAATAAAACAGACAGAAGGATCATACTACCACTGTATTAGGAAGTGTACAATAAGACAGATAGAAGGATCATACTACCACTGTATTAGGAAGTGTACAATAAGACAGATAGAAGGATCATACTACCACTGTATTAGGAAGTGTACAATAAGACAGATAGAAGGATCATACTACCACTGTATTAGGAGGTGTACAATAAGACAGATAGAAGGATCATACTACCACTGTATTAGGAAGTGTACAATAAGACAGATAGAAGGATCATACTACCACTGTATTAGGAGGTGTACAATAAGACAGATAGGAGGACCATACTACCACTGTATTAGGAGGTGTACAATAAGACAGATAGAAGGATCATACTACCACTGTATTAGGAAGTGTACAATAAGACAGACAGAAGGATATTACCATTCTGGGACTGTATTAGGAGGTGTACAATAAGACAGATATTTTCTCTACCACTGTATTAGGATCAATATTCAATTGGTCTCTACCACTGTATTATGATGCCCTGTAAAAATTGAATTTCTTTCTGACTCAGAACACAAGAGTCCTAAATAATAAGCAGTGAGAGGAAAGAGAAAAGACTTTAGAAATAGTAGCACGTCCTCATACAAGCATTCAGGACATATACATCTACATTCTAAAAGGGAATTAAACCTATTTTGACAGCAAGACAGAAGAAAACTGCATTAGAATTCCCAATTAAACTGACACAGAAACAGTTAATCATATTTACCCTCCATTATTTGAATGTTATTGCCTTTATAAAGTGAATTAGAATTTCATATCAGCTAAAAAATGCCTTTGCTTGTCACTGGTGTACTTGATAATTTTCTTAACTTTGATCAATAAGATGTTGTTTGAGTGTTAAAAAAAAAGAGTAAATTCAATTTGACCTGCACTACAGTAATTTAAATTTGGATTTGTGGTATGGAGGAGGTTTAGGGCTGTAACTGAACATTATCTTGTCTGTAGGTCCACACCTGTCACTGTACACATTGTTGACATTATCTTGTCTGCAGGTCCACACCTGTCACTGTACACATTGTTGACATTATCTTGTCTGTAGGTCCACACCTGTCACTGTACACATTGTTGACATTATCTTGTCTGTAGGTCCACACCTGTCACTGTCCACATTGTTGACATTATCTTGTCTGTAGGTCCACACCTGTCACTGTACATATTGTTGACATTATCTTGTCTGTAGGTCCACACCTGTCACTGTATACATTGTTGACATTATCTTGTCTGTAGGTCCACACCTGTCACTGTACACATTGTTGACATTATCTTGTCTGTAGGTCCACACCTGTCACTGTACACACTGTTGAAATTATCTTGTCTGTAGGTCCACACCTGTCACTGTCCACATTGTTGACATTATCTTGTCTGTAGGTCCACACCTGTCACTGTACACACTGTTGAAATTATCTTGTCTGTAGGTCCACACCTGTCACTGTCCACATTGTTGACATTATCTTGTCTGTAGGTCCACACCTGTTACTATACACATTGTTGACATCATCTTGTCTGTAGTTCCACACCTGTCACTGTACACACTGTTGAAATTATCTTGTCTGTAGGTCCACACCTGTCACTGTACACATTGTTGACATTATCTTGTCTGTAGGTCCACACCTGTCACTGTACACATTGTTGACATTATCTTGTCTGTAGGTCCACACCTGTCACTGTACACATTGTTGACATTATCTTGTCTGTAGGTCCACACCTGTTACTGTACACATTGTTGACATTATCTTGTCTGTAGGTCCACACCTGTCACTGTACACATTGTTGACATTATCTTGTCTGTAGGTCCACACCTGTTACTGTACACATTGTTGACATTATCTTGTCTGTAGGTTCACACCTGTTACTGTACCTTTTGACAGCATTATCAGTCTGAAAACTGGTTAGACACCTGTTAAACTGTACACATTGTTGACATTATCTTGTCTGTAGGTCCACACCTGTTACTGTACACATTGTTGACATTATCTTGTCTGTAGGTCCACACCTGTTACTGTACACATTGTTGACATTATCTTGTCTGTAGGTCCACACCTGTCACTGTACACATTGTTGACATTATCTTGTCTGCAGGTCCACACCTGTTACTGTACACATTGTTGACATTATCTTGTCTGTAGGTCCACACCTGTCACTGTACACATTGTTGACATTATCTTGTCTGTAGGTCCACACCTGTTACTGTACACATTGTTGACATTATCTTGTCTGTAGGTCCACACCTGTTACTGTACACATTGTTGACATTATCTTGTCTGTAGGTCCACACCTGTCACTGTACACATTGTTGACATATTGTCTGTAGGTCCACACCTGTTACTGTACACATTGTTGACATTATCTTGTCTGTAGGTCCACACCTGTTACTGTACACATTGTTGACATTATCTTGTCTGTAGTTCCACACCTGTCACTGTACACATTGTTGACATTATCTTGTCTGTAGGTCCACACCTGTCACTGTACACATTGTTGACATTATCTTGTCTGTAGGTCCACACCTGTCACTGTACACATTGTTGACATTATATTGTCTGTAGGTCCACACCTGTCACTGTACACATTGTTGACATTATCTTGTCTGTAGGTCCACACCTGTTACTGTACACATTGTTGACATCATCTTGTCTGTAGGTCCACACCAGTCACTAACCAAAATGTCTAACTTCTCAGCTGTTAGCTTATGCTAATGACACTCTTAAATATTAGTGGTTTTCTGACACTAAAGCACTTGAGACAAACATATTTTAATAATTTGGAGACAGAATCGTATTAGAGAATATTGTATAAGTGAATTGGTTCTCTGTATCAGTGTCGATTAAGATCATCTTATTATAACTGTAAAAACAAAATCAAAATTTGCATTTTGTGAAAATTCACAATAAATATATTATTCTTGACAGTAATACACCTATTAGATTTTATAGAGAAAAGTGCAAATGGGGAAGTTCTGCAGTTAACATGCATGTGATTAATTGAGGCCAAATTCAAAGGTCATACACTACTTGTCTGCTAGGAATGTATCATAATAATAATGATGGTGCAGCTTGTCATTAAGAGGTGTTACTGTCAGTGCTGATTATGTAACTCTACATTAAAATTCTACCTGTATATCTAAAGGTAAGTCTTCTTAATCTAACAAGAGATCCCAGAGGGTTCTTGGTGCTCACTGTTGCTTGTTCTGTAAAAGTTTTGATTTTTCCTATTGTTCACTTCTTTCCTTTTATTTCCACTTGATTATACAATATTTGAAAATTCCTCTTAAAAGAGATATAACAATAATTATCTTTAACAAGATGGTGACCAGCCAGCAATCTGGTTTTTCTGATCAGTCCAGAAATCAAATTTCACAACTAGGGACCAAGGAGAAACTACTTATGAAATTTGAGTAAGTTCCATCCTGTCATCATGAAACAGCAATAATAAACTTTCATTATTAAACACAAGATAGCCAGGAGGAAACCACTTTGTCTTTCTTATCAGTTCCAAAATCCAAATAGCACAACTATAGACCAAATAGCACAACTATAGACCAAATAGCACAACTATAGACCAAATAGAACAACTATAGACCAAATAGCACAACTATAGACCAAATAGCACAACTATAGACCAAATAGAACAACTATAGACCAAATAGAACAACTATAGACCAAATAGCACAACTATAGACCAAATAGCACAACTACAGACCAAATAGCACAACTATAGACCAAATAGCACAACTATAGACCAAATAGCACAACTATAGACCAAATAGCACATGAAACTTGAGAAAGAGCCATCTACCTGTTCTCAAGACATAGCGATAACAAGCATTGTTAAAGGACTGTAGGCAACAGATGACAGATCACTGACCATAGATACAGCACAATGCTAACAGCCAAACTATCACTGATTTTCTCAACTTGTGATCACATTTATTATACAAGTATTTGAACAGATTAATTGTGACCTTGAACTTGTCCTTGAAGAATGACAACACACATGTCTTGATGAAACAAACAATTGTAGAGAGAGCAAATAAAAACAATGGACAGATGATGAAATGTAAAACAAATAACAATCGGTAGAGAGATAAAACTAGACAATTCTGGGAAATTCCAGGGATTAATATAGCAGATGAAGCCTGGAAAAGTCAAAGGTCAAAATGTAGGTCAGAGTGACTGTCTTTAGATACATGACACGAGGTGAACCCATAGCCAAAGTATGAAGTTCCAGTGACTAGCAGTATAGGAGACAGCTTAAGAAATGAAGACACCAGACAGGTGATACAGCTAATGAAAAAAAGACACCAGACAGTTGATACAGCTAATGAAATGAAGACACCAGACAGTTGATACAGCTAATGAAATGAAGACACCAGACAGTTGATACAGCTAATGAAATGAAGACACCAGACAGTTGATTTGACAGATGAAATGAAAGAATTGCAATAAGACACAAGTGATTGAACAAATGATCAAATCACACAAACTTCCTCTGAACCAGACAACATGGACGTGTAATTTGAAGTCTAGAAACAATGTGATGATTTAGGGTTTGGCACTCTGTGACATAAACTCACCAATCAGGAGCCATATAAATAACTTTATAAACAGCATCATAAAAAGACTTCTGCAGCAGACACTTTAATATTCTGCCCTTAAAAAAGGCTCAGCCAGAAGTCAATTTCCATGTTATTTCAACCAGCACCAACAGTTTACAGGATCGATAGAGAAGTGACAACTCAGTCATGTTAAACCCCCTCATAAACACCACTGCTTGGGTTTTAACACTCGATATAAAGCATGATGTACTTTCACTTCTAAATTTGAAATTGTTTGGTATAATAAAATGCATGTGTATGCACTTCAACATTATTTGCAGGAAGTTTCTACATCAAAATGTCAATTACAATCAGATGTATGTGGGCCTTATTTAGAATCACAAGGAAACTTATTAAAGTGGCATTAGAAATATAAAATTAAAATGAAAAATTCTAGGTATTTAAATAAAAAATTAGTAAATTCTTGTAATCAGGTACTCAACATTAATTGTTAAGATAATTCAAGCTGGTCTTTAATTCTATATTACCTTTGTTACAAGCTATATTGTCTAACACTATACAAAGCTGGTCTTTAATTCTATATTACCTTTGTTACAAGCTATATTGTCTAACACTATACAAAGCTGGTCTTTAATTCTATATTACCTTTATTACAAGCTATATTGTCTAACACTATACAAAGCTGGTCTTTAATTCTATATTACCTTTGTTACAAGTATATTGTCAACACTATACAAAGCTATATTTACCTTTGTTACAAGCTATATTGTCTAACACTATACCAAGCTGGTCTTTAATTCTATATTACCTTTGTTACAAGCTATATTGTCTAACACTATACATTAGGGTATGGAAGTGATAAGCTATAAAACATTAAATAACCTGTTAGTTGAAGAAAATGGTTATTTCTCACTGCAATAATTAGCAATAATTTCCTCTAATGGACAATTTCTGGTATTTCATGGATAGTCTTAAATGTTAACAGTGTCACATTCAGTCTCACACAACTTGTTATATGTCCCTTTATACTTTGTAACTGCACACAAGATGTCAAATGATTAAAGGAATGAGAATATTTTAAATCCTTTTAAATGTTTTCGAGGTCACTCACTTGTATGATGTATATATGCACAAAGACAAATTATTGAAATATATTACGTTTCTCTAATATTCTGCTATATACTGCCTGTGTATGTCTAACATACAGGTACACTACCTAAGTGTTTTGTTTTACATACAGGTACACTGTCTGACATATCTGCAGGTATTCTCTCAGCCATACAGGTAACATGTCTGACAGGTATTTTGTCTAGCATAAAGGTATTCTGTCTTACATATAATATCATGTCAGATATGTGATAAGGCATTCTGATTTTCTTTAAGTGATCCTCTTAATTTTCTTTCTTTTTTTCTCAATTGTTATTTTATGTTAACATCATGTCAATTACCTTAATGGTACAGCACCCAATTGACAACTGTCTAACTTCTTTAGTTAAAGAGAGTGATTAGATTTATGGTGAACACACACTAGGCAGAGATCACAAAACATAAACTTCATTGGAAATGACTCTTGAAAATCAAAACTTAAACAGGATGTTCACGAAGCTTTAATGTACTAAAACAAATAAAATCCACTATGATATCCCAAGTGATAGTTAAAAATAGTCATATACAGTGTAGTGTTTTGTTTCAAGTGCTCTTAAGACACGGTGGGGAAATCAAAGTGATAAATGTTTATTGTTTTATTATGTTATTTAAACAAATTTTCATTCAATGTGATAAGTTGTTTTTTCTCCTTATTATGATGCAAATATATTGCTTCTAGTTAAAAAATATTACTCAAAAAGTAAATATTAATATCCGTCAAATTATATAAATATTAATATTACTGACAAAATATGCAATTAACTACCTGCTAACTAGAATGAAACACAAAATAACAAGGCACAACAAACATTTACAAATAGGCACAAATACTGTGACATTACTCAACAGAAAACTGTCAGTTTGTCTAGCAGGACCCGTAACTATCTTCTATTGAAGCTAAATTAGTACTAAACAGATAACTGGCAGTTTGTCTAGCAGGACCTGTAACTATCTTCTATTGAAGCTAAATTAGTACTAAACAGATAACTGGCAGTTTGTCTAGCAGGACCTGTAACTATCTTCTATTGAAGCTAAATTAGTACTAAACAGATAACTGGCAGTTTGTCTAGCAGGACCTGTAACTATCTTCTATTGATACTGTAACATTACTCAACAGAAAACTGTCAGTTTGTCTAGCAGGACCCGTAACTATCTTCTATTGATACTGTAACATTACTCAACAGAAAACTGTCAGTTTGTCTAGCAGGACCTGTAACTATCTTCTATTGATACTGTAACATTACTCAACAGAAAACTGTCAGTTTGTCTAGCAGGACCTGTAACTATCTTCTATTGATACTGTAACATTACTCAACAGAAAACTGTCAGTTTGTCTAGCAGGACCCGTAACTATCTTCTATTGAAGCTAAATTAGTACTAAACAGAAAATTGTCAGTTTGTCTAGCAGGACCTGTAACTATCTTCTATTGAGCAGCATTACATTAGTACTGAGAAGAAAACTGGCATTTGGTCAAGCACATTAGTACTAAGAAGAACACAGTAAAACTGAAGATCTGCATTTAGTACACAACACAGAAATTTCTCTTTAGTAATTAACAAAACTTTGAATGCAGTAAACATCATCTTTGCATAAAACTACTGCAACTTGACAAATGTAATCAACACAGTGTTTCAATGGTCACCAAAAGTAGCACAATACTATTGTCATCCTTGTATTGGTCATCTGTGTCCTGGTTATCCTTGCACTGGTGATATCTCTGTTTAAACCTCAAGTTACACTCTTTTCACAGAAAATAAATTGTAAAAAATCTTTGCAACAACTGATCTTTGGTTAAACTGGATGGGCCAACAAAAACACAAGTCTTCAGCAATTTGGCCTTAACCTGTTTGATCCATTTTTTGAGAAATTTAGATTTAAATGCCAATGATGTGCCTGAATTCTTATTGACGACAATGATTCACTTTGAAAAGAGCTAATTATTCTTACCTGCCGTATGACGCCGTCGTTTTAACTTTTTGCGTCGCCACATTTTTGTTGGTGTGTCCTCTCGGGACTTTTGTGTGCGGTTGTTGTTGCTTTGCTGCACTGCGAAGTGACTATTTACGTGGCGTTCCAGTCCTTTCTGGGAGGTGAATCTCATCACACATCCATCTACAATACACTTAAACGGCTTGTCGCCGCTGTGACTTAGTATATGCCTTTCCAACCATGATCTAGAACACGAACTTTTGTCAAATACTTTACAACCCTGCCACAGGCACACATAAGTTTCACCACTCTGAGTGTCCACATGACACTGCCTAATATGGTCCATGAGGGCTGGTGGTTCAAGCCCACACTCGCAGTCCTTCCATTTACATGCTATATAAGTCTCTTTACAACTACATTGTGTGTCTGCCGGCCGACTGTCCTTACTTATAGGGCTGAGCACACAGCTCCCCACGATGGATAAAGGTGTACACGAACGCGACGTGTCGGGGGTTACCTGTTCTGATGCACATCCCCCCTCCACTAGTCTTGTTATCTCTTTCTCTTCTGACAAACTGAAACACAGAACATAACAGAGATAGGACTTGTTATTGTACTGGACACATTAATAGTTAGATATTAAATCAATAGTATACAATAAACTGGTCATATTCATTTTCTCTTAAATCCTAGAAAATCTATAAGACATGAATTCCCCTGCTCCTATGCAAACCACCATGTGATAAGTGCATAACTTAAGATACTATGGAGAAAATACAAACCATATCTATCCAGACGTTCTCAAAATACAACAATAGTTTGGAACATAACAGGATGTGACAATCAGAACCTTTGGTCAATTCAGGAATGGTCAATATCAGACTCTTAGTCCAGGAATGGTCAATATCAGACTTTAAGTCCAGGAATGGTCAATATCAGACTTTTAGTCCAGGAATGGTCAATATCAGACTCTTAGTCCAGGAATGGTCAATATCAGACTCTTAGTCCAGGAATGGTCAATATCAGACTTTTAGTCCAGGAATGGTCAATATCAGACTTTTAGTCCAGGAATGGTCAATGTCAGACTTTTAGTCCAGGAATGGTCAATGTCAGACTTTTAGTCCAGGAATGGTCAATGTCAGACTTTTAGTCCAAGAATGGTCAATATCAGACTCTTAGTCCAGGAATGGTCAATATCAGACTCTTAGTCCAGGAATGGTCAATGTCAGACTTTTAGTCCAGGAATGGTCAATGTCAGACTTTTAGTCCAGGAATGGTCAATATCAGACTTTTAGTCCAGGAATGGTCAATGTCAGACTTTTAGTCCAAGAATGGTCAATATCAGACTCTTAGTCCAGGAATGGTCAATGTCAGACTTTTAGTCCAGGAATGGTCAATGTCAGACTTTTAGTCCAGGAATGGTCAATATCAGACCCTAGTCCAGGAATGGTCAATATCAGACTTTTAGTCCAGGAATGGTAAATATCAGACTTTTAGTCCAGGAATGGTCAATATCAGACTTTTAGTCCAGGAATGGTCAATATCAGACTCTTAGTCCAGGAATGGTAAATATCAGACTTTTAGTCCAGGAATGATCAATATCAGACCCTAGTCCAGGAATGGTCAATATCAGACTTTTAGTCAAGGAATGGTCAATATCAGACTCTTAGTCCAGGAATGGTCAATATCAGACTTTTAGTCCAGGAATGGTCAATATCAGACTTTTAGTCCAGGAATGGTCAATATCAGACTTTTAGTCCAGGAATGGTCAATGTCAGACTTTTAGTCCAAGAATGGTCAATATCAGACTCTTAGTCCAGGAATGGTCAATGTCAGACTTTTAGTCCAGGAATGGTCAATGTCAGACTTTTAGTCCAGGAATGGTCAATATCAGACCCTAGTCCAGGAATGGTCAATATCAGACTTTTAGTCCAGGAATGGTAAATATCAGACTTTTAGTCCAGGAATGGTCAATATCAGACTTTTAGTCCAGGAATGGTCAATATCAGACTCTTAGTCCAGGAATGGTAAATATCAGACTTTTAGTCCAGGAATGATCAATATCAGACCCTAGTCCAGGAATGGTCAATATCAGACTTTTAGTCAAGGAATGGTCAATATCAGACTCTTAGTCCAGGAATGGTCAATATCAGACTTTTAGTCCAGGAATGGTCAATATCAGACTTTTAGTCCAGGAATGGTCAATATCAGACTTTTAGTCCAGGAATGGTCAATATCAGACTTTTAGTCCAGGAATGGTCAATATCAGACTTTTAGTCCAGGAATGGTCAATATCAGACTTTTAGACCAGGAATGGTCAATATCAGACTTTTTGGTCTAGATAAGGCTGATATCAGACTGAGACAAACTCCTAAAGCTATACAAAACTAGAAGTTTTCAAAAGGAAAAATTGATGACGGATGGATACTGCAGTCGTTGTAATAGTTTTTAGTTCTATATTTTCTGATAATGTCTGTAATACAACAAAGTTTCTATACTAGAAAAATTTGCTGACATGTGTACATTATGTTGTCTGTCTAATGATGGGTATAACCATGGATATCCTACATAACAACATTACCAAACCAAGGAAAAGTTAGAAAAACTGGAAACTTGTAATCAGAACATTAATCTCATCATGTATCAGCTTGTATATAAACTTTTGTAAGTAAGGAAACAGGAACTGAATCTGACTGTAATCTTTTAATCATGTGCTGATGTATTGGTACATAAAGCATAACCTTCAATATATACAAATCCCATGGGTGCACACAAGGTCCCTGACAACCAGATGTTACATGTGAGCTGATCTAGGGTTGTCACTAGGATATCAGTACCAGCACAGTTCTATGTATACCACTGACCTAGTGACCTAGATGTGGTCAATATCCCATCACACTGTTGACATATTACACAATAGATTTAATAGTAATCTATTAAGGTAATGCTGTTTAAATACATACTGTTCATTACATCTTTGTTTCATAAAATCACTGTAAGGCAATGTACTGATTACAGGCAATAATCTTTGTGGTATCCGGCCACAACCTATTGCAGGGAACTGCTGACATAGCTTAATAAGAGGCAGTCACCTGGAAGTCATGGTAGTCAGTGGAATGAGTTCTGTCAATAAAGCATTCCATGTTAACAACGTAAAGTATCCCCAGCAACCCATTAACACACAACATTACCTAGCTACACAGTAACATACATTACCTAGCTACCAAGTAACACACAACATTACCTAGCTACCCATTAACACACAACATTACCTAGCTACACAGTAACATACATTACCTAGCTACCAAGTAACACACAACATTACCTAGCTACCAAGTAACACACAACATTACCTAGCTACCCATTAACACACAACATTACCTAGCTACACAGTAACATACATTACCTAGCTACCAAGTAACACACAACATTACCTAGCTACACAGTAAAATACATTACCTAGCTACCAAGTAACACACAACATTACCAAGCTACCCATTAACACACAACATTATCTAGCTACCCATTAACACACAACATTACCTAGCTACCCAGTAACACACATTACCTAGCTACTCAGTAACATACATTACCTAGCTACACAGCAACACACATTACCTAGCTACACAGTAACATACATTACCTAGCTATACAGTGACATAAATTACCTAGCTACACAGTAACACACATTACCTAGCTACTCAGTAACATACATTACCTAGCTACACAGCAACACACATTACCTAGCTACACAGTAACATACATTACCTAGCTATACAGTAACACACATTACCTAGCTACACAGTAACATACATTACCTAGCTACACAGTGACATAAATTACCTAGCTATACAGTAACATACATGACCTAGCTACACAGTAACATACATTACATAGCTACACAGTAACATACATTGCCTAGCTACACAGTAACTTACATTACCTATCTACACAGTAACATACATTACCTAGCTACACAGTAACATACATTACCTAGCTACACAGTAACATACATTACCTAGCTACACAGTAACATACATTACCTAGCTACCAAGTAACATACATTGCCTAGCTACACAGTAACATACATTACATAGCTACACAGTAACATACATTACATAGCTACACAGTAACATACATTACATAGCTACACAGTGACATACATTACCTAGCTACACAGTGACATACATTACCTAGCTACACAGTAACATACATTACCTAGCTACACAGTAACATACATTACCTAGCTACACAGTAACATACAAAACAAGAGACCACAGCCTTTAATGATCATCTGACCATCAATGGATAGTGGTCTCACAAATCATCTGATTTCAAATCCATTGAGGTACTAAGGAAGAGTAGCATTCTGCAGCAAAATATTGACTAGCTTCCCCATTTGGGGCCCTCCCCTAAGTCCCTCGGGGTTGATTCAACTTATGAGTTTAAGAATTAATTGCCCACCTTACTGATGCTTCAGACAAAATCTGAATTAAATCCATGTAAGTATTCAGGAAGGGTAGCATTTGGGGCAAAGTGTTGTCTAACTGCCCTTTTGGGGCCCCATCCCCAGGTCCCAATGGGTGGATTCAAGTTTCTGAATGTAACTAATAATTCCCCACCCCGAATGATATTTCTGACCAAATTTGGTTGAAATCCACCTCGGCCTTATGCAGGAGTAGTGTTTTTAAGGAAAAGTTTACGGATGACGTGCAGCACACAGTGATGGACAATGCATTTAATTACCTAACTCCCTAGTAACACACAACATTACTTAGCTCGCCAGTAACTTACAACATCCCTAGATACCAAGTATACTACACACAACATCCCTAGCTTTCCAGCCGTTCTGATAAGCTATCATTATATTTTCCAATTTACAATCATTAAATATTATGTAATATGTTTTATGCTAAAGGCAGATTTGGATTGATTGGTAGACGTTAACAGATGATGACTAAATATGCGTCTGGAATCTCAATCAGCAGAGAACATGGCCATCTAACTATAAAAATCTTAATTTAATATGAAAATCTTTCTAAAGATCATGAAACAATGAAGCCTAAGGGTCCAAGCCACTTGCCCAATACTTAAATTCATTGACACATTTAATATTCAAATGCTTTAGAAAATATCTTAGAATTCTTTTTTTTTTTTTTTTAAATATTTAACCACTCAAAGGCTTTTAAAAACTGCAAGTTGATAAAAACAAAAACAAACAAAAAACATTTGTTTCAAGACTGACAACAAATTCAAGGATTTTTCAAGGCTGCCTTAATCATAGTTCTGCTACATGACAGCAGTGACAAGCTGAAACAATGAAATGACTTTGGGCCTCTTATAATTAATTCTTCACAAGAAGAAGCCAATCAATTGATCTCATATTTCAACCCTGTTACCTTAACAGATCAATCAAGGTCAATTATTTTAACAATATGAAATGAGAATGCAAGGCCATGAAATTCTTTTCCCACATTTGTTACCTGTAATAATGAAATGCAGGTCAAGGTAGTTTATATATAAACAAACTTACTAGTTCTTTATTCTTTCAGAAGCTACATACCTGATACTAGACAATTCTATGCTAGCTGAAGAGGAAGCTTTCTTATTAAGTTAATTTTCAAATTACAACAAGTCATTGAGAAATTTTTTACGAAAGTCATTGCTATAGTGATGTTTAATGAATAAGACTACCTGGATACTCCATTCTTGTCGGAGAACAGGTCCACACAGGGGAAAGTGCACTGCGGTGTCTCCTGCTCTTCATCCTTACAGTCTCTGTTGGGAAAACAAATACAAGGATTGATAGCTAGTCTATAACATGTCATAACGTTAAACATACCTGTCTCAGCTGTGATACATTTGTTGGTAAGGGCAGTAGGCACTCTCACTGCTCATTGAATAATGAATGTGAATGTTGTATTTACATAATAAAACACAGTGCTAGAAATTTTGTCAAAAACTGTTCCCATAACCATGTACTGTCCCCTTAACCATCATAAAACACTGTCCAGAATATCATGTGATTCATTTGGTCTTGAATTTTGTGAAGCTTGAAATACTTGTGATCTACACTTGCTTATTAAATCAGGAAATGTTTCTGGAAATGAAGAGGCTGTTCTCTAATTCAGAAATGAAAAATATAGAAAAACAACCACATTTTATCACCCTCAGACTTGTGTTGTACAGCCATGAGATGCTTGAGAGTCGCATATAACCCTTAAGCATGAAATTCATATTCACAGCAATTGCAAATGAAATGTAAAGATTGTTCATCTTTAGATTACAGATTAAATGATGAAGAGAAGCTTGCATGCTTGTCACAATGTACGTGTCCACACCATCCAATCAGGCTCTGTTCCTCTACATGTTAATCACATTGCTAGTATACCTCAATGAGTTTTCCATTACGTAATGACACATTATCATGAAAGAGCAGAAATCGGCAGAAATACTCCACACTTAGTGCACTTTTTCATCAGATGTCAGATTGAAAGCCAGCCAGATTGAAAGTAGCTCTAGAGATTCATCTTTATATAATCATACATGTATGAATGTAACACTGCAGGTTTATAAACACTCCACTCCCTAATCTTTTTATTTCAAAATGGGTCAAGTATTTACTTTTGACCCCTTGATATTGACCTATGACCATCAAATTTTAATCAACTACAGAATTTGATTTCATGATATTATGTGTGAAAATGAAAATCCTAAAAAAACTGTTGAAGGGTTTGTAAAATACTTCGTACACAAACTTTTTTATTTAAAAAATGATGAGAAGTGATGATTGTCCATTTGATGCTAATTAATGTCCACCAAAATCTGAAGATATTGTATGAATATGAACAAGGTCTATGTGACATTCTTAATTTGGTAGAATATCACATGCTGTCCCTTCCTTTGAATTTCAAATTGTCCACCATGTATACTTATTCTGTCATTTTTCTAGATTTTACATAAAATCACCTTTACAGCTATAAACATCTGAAGTTGATAGCAGTGAAATGAAAATACTCTGATCAAAATAGATTTAAGCTGTCTGTAAAAATTCCCTGTAGCTGACTATATGATTGAGTGTACAGAGAAAGGCCTGTCAATGAAATTATCATCTGGGGTATGGAGTGTGTCGACTATAATAGGGTGTTAGGGGCTGCTGCAGACACATCAGAAAAAGATGCTGCCTATGCCCTATCATCTCACACATGTGACAGCACCATCACACTCCAAAACACTCCAATTGAGGCGCAAGTCATCCTGAATAATTCATGATAAAAGTCCGCTGTAAAATCGTCCACTTTACATCAAAATGCAATAAAATTTGTTATAAATATAATCATACGTCTATAAGTCATAAACAGTCTCAACTGCCACTACAGTTGTGAGGCCGCTACAGTTGTGAGGCCGCTACTGATGGTTGTGAGGCCGCTACCGATGGTTGTGAGGCCACTACTGATGGTTGTGAGGCCACTACTGATGGTTGTAAAGCCACTGCTGATGGTTGTGAGGCCGCTACCGATGGTTGTGAGGCCACTACTGATGGTTGTGAGGCCACTACTGATGGTTGTAAAGCCACTGCTGATGGTTGTGAGGCCACTACTGATGGTTGTGAGGCCACTACTGTTGTGAGGCTGCTACTGATGGTTGTGAGGCCACTACTGTTGTGTGAGGCCACTACTGTTGTGAGGCCGGTACTATTGTGTGAGGCCACTACTGTTGTGAGGAGACTTCAAAGTTTACAAGCAATGCTTGGTTACAACCCTTATAAAACAACCTGTACTACCTCATAATTATAACCTTTTCCATTTAGTTTTCTGTTACTAAAATGGATTTGAAAAGATAACACAATGTATTTCTGTACCTTATTGGAGAAAGATTTGATGAGTGTTCAAAATAAATTTAATGATTTCACATAATCTATCGAAATCCATCAGTATAAGTTAAGAGTTTATAATCCATCAGTATGTGATATTTATCTGCTTCATTAAACCAATAATAAAGCATAAGATTTACTAGAAGCTTTACGGTAATGACAGTTGTACATGCTTGCATTACCTTAAAACATGTGCACATACATTACCGGAACAGCTGGTCCAATATACTTCCTATGTGCCTCCTTAAATACCCCTCAGAAGATAAAATTAAAACAAACTGAGCACCTTGCCGCCAGACCCCTATCTACAACTATTTGCCTGGTCCCTTTATAACTTGCTGCAGTAATCGCATTTCAGGGGAACGTGCACAAAGACAGAAAGACAAGGCACTTTTGCAAAGCACTGGTTTGGTTTGGATATTTCCTTCTCCAGGTGCAACAAAATGCCCAGAGAGCCATGACACATGCAGAAATCTCAGCTGAACAAATGTGCAGGTCTCACCAGCATAACAGCTCAGTGAATTTCAATTCCTCCAATTCACCGAACAAGATGCATGAAGCCCAAATCTTATTGAACAGAAAAGAAGCATTCCCGCATGGTTAACTACAAATTATATGTCTTTCGCATTTATTTCAGGAGTCGCAAAGCCTCCACTATAATCAAATTGTACAATTTAGCATGATAATATCCAACTATATTTTAAATAAATTTGGGGGGAAAAAAAACATTGATCAAACAAACCAAATCTTTAATTGTATCACATTATTAAGGTGAGAATGATTAGAAAATATTTAAACATTTTTAAAGAGAACATTAAAAGACTAAATGTGAGAAGTCATGATGATGTATTGGGTGACATATCAGGCCTGGGGTTTTTGATGCTAGAAATGTTTATCAAAGTACATAACACATCAACAGTACTGATTAATCACAGGCCAAACCCTGTGGAGGGCCACCTAGAAAGTGTGTCACTCATGTCAAGTGTGTCATAAGGTCTACTGTCGATTGGCCACCCAGATATAAACCTAATACTTCAAACACTCTCAATTCACATAGTCATGGGGTTGGTTTAACTTTTTTTTTTTTTGGTGTTTTTTTTTAGATAGGTTATTCAAGTCTTATGCTGTGTGCAAACAGAAAATCAAATCACATTTTTCAAATTAAAAAAAAATTAGCCCCCCTCTCTCCTTTTGGTAATATTTTACTTCTGGGTAGGTGTTTCCCTAATCCTGTAGAGCACAGTATAGGCAAGGGATTTGATGAAATACAAGTCTTTACAGGAAAGAACAGCTGGCACAACTTTTAATACTTTCAGCAATCTGAATTCAGAACTACAATACTTTCACCATTCCAACACAAAGCAACTATGTCAAAGATTTTGTGACCAACGATACTCATACATTTCATGAATAAACATTCCACAACCAAACAACAGTCTAATGTTCTATAAACAACAGTCTAGTGTTCTATAAACAACAGCATAATGTTCTATAAACAACAATCTAATGTTCTATAAACAACAGTCAAATGTTCTATAAACAACAGTCTAATGTTCTATAAACAACAGTCTAATGTTCTATAAACAACAGCATAATGTTCTATAAACAAGTCTAATGTTCTGTAAACAACAGTCTAAAGTTCTGTAAACAACAGCATAATGTTCTATAAACAACAGTCTAATGTTCTGTAAACAACAGTCTAATGTTCTATAAACAACAATCTAAAGTTCTATAAACAACAGTCAAATGTTCTATAAACAACAGTCTAATGTTCTATAAACAACAGTCTAATGTTCTATAAACAACAGTCAAATGTTCTATAAACAACAGTCTCATGTTCTATAAACAACAGTCTAATGTTCTATAAACAACAATCTAATGTTCTATAAACAACAGTCTAATGTTCTGTAAACAACAGTCTAATGTTCTGTAAACAACAGTCAAATGTTCTATAAACAACAATCTCATGTTCTATAAACAACAGTCTAATGTTCTGTAAACAACAGTCTAATGTTCTATAAACAACAGTCTAATGTTCTATAAACAACAATCTAATGTTCTATAAACAACAGTCTAATGTTCTGTAAACAACAGTCTAATGTTCTATAAACAACAGTCAAATGTTCTATAAACAACAGTCTAATGTTCTATAAACAACAGTCTAATGTTCTATAAACAACAGTCTAATGTTCTATAAGAAATAAAAGTAATTCATGTTCCACAGCTTAACAGAAAAACATTCTACAAACAAACAACAGACAAACCTTCCATGAACAAACAACAGACAAACATTCCATGAACAAACAACAGACAAACCTTCCATGAACAAACAACAGACAAACCTTCCATGAACAAACAACAGACAAACATTCTATGAACAAACAGACAAACATTCTATGAACAAACATCCATTATTTTCTGCTGAGGTTTACTGTTATGAGTAGCATTAATAAATCAACATGAAAAAAGCTGATCAGTATGACATCTAAACAAATGTAAAATTAATTCAGTGAAATCCAGATCTGGTTTGACACTGTCGTCTGGCCCGAGGTACAGCAGACCATTTTATGACTACCTTTAAAGAAGTCATTAGGTGGCAGCCATACCTTATTGTTGTATGTAAATTCAGCAACAATAGATTTTTTTTGTATGCATATCATGGTCAAATCCATTTCAGCAAAAAAGCCTGAGCTCAGACCACACAAAATCTCAGTATAATAGGAATATCAAGTTATTATCTCAGATTTCGCGAAGAAAAACTCTCACCAACTGTTCCCTGCATGAAGTACTAAAACACAACCCTTTATCACAGAGCATGAAATGAAGCCATTTATAATTGCATGAGAACGTATTTTGCTAAGTACTTAGAGCAAGCCAGAGGGATATGACTCATGTAGTCGTTGGC